TGGCTCAGGAATGGAACACAAAAATCCCGCTCGACTCGCTAGGTGAGTGTGCTCGCATATATTCGTGTCGCCAGAGACAAACGACTGCACAAGTCAAACACACTCTGAACTGAGCGGGTTGCTTTGCGTGTGACACTTTTCTTTTTTGGATTTTTTTTATTAAAGCAAAGGAAGTGTTTTTTAAGATACTCAAATATGTCTGTTTTGAGTATTTTGCCTGATGAGGCGGTGTTTGCTGACTTCAGAAATCAGTGTTTATCAACGGACAACTGGATGAGCAAGTATGATAAAAGTGAGATGGAAGTGTGGGTCGAACACCCACCTGCGAATAGAGGAAATCACGAACCTAAAATCCACAAGATCAAGGTAAGGTCACTTTCACACTAACTTTCCACACATTGGGTTATCACACTTGACTCTGGGTGGTGTACTGTGAACTTGGCCTATTTTCCATTGTGTGTACATATATATGTGTTTGTGTTTCAGTGTAAAATGACGATTAAAGATGTATCGGCTGCGACCATGTACGACGTCATTCACGATGGACAGTACCGTAAGAAGTGGGACCCCGCCATGTTGGACAGTTTTGACATTGCCCGGCTCTCTGCTAACGCTGATGTGGGCTACTACTCATGTGAGGACTCCTGGTTATTGTATCTCATCACATTCTTCTGTGTTTTTCCCCCGTAGAAACACGTCAGTCCACAGTGTAGGCCTGACTCAGTTTCACCTGTTGTGCACTGGAAACACAAACACTGAAAAGATAAAGTGTAGTAGATTTTGATAACATTTTAGGATTTTGTACTTCTTTGGAAGAATAGTACCAATTTGTGATTGAAATAGTACTATTCGGTGACTTGACCTGATTTTTTGATACAATAACTACAATAGGCTACACCTCAATGATTTCTTTAAGCATTGTGTTCCTCATAAATAATAGAGTAAAATGGACCTTTGTTTTGAGTCATAGTGAAATACAAACAACACCACCACTATTTTCCCATCAGCAAGCACTTCAACTCATTATCCTCTTAAACGCACCCATGGTGCATTTGTGTCGTCGCTTTTAACCTCCATTTCTAATTTATTAGAAAAGTTTTTTTCTCCTTTTCTAAGCTACTGAAGCCCTCAGGGATGAAATGTGAGCGGCCTCTTGTTCCACCAGTGTATTTATTGTCATAACAAGGGTGCACTTGTAGAGTCTAATTGAAGAACTGAACGAATAAAGGAAATCTAACACAATATAATCTGATTTTTATCTGTTTTTTTCCTCTGCAGGGCTTTGTCCAAAGCCAATAAAGAACAGAGATGTGGTGACACTGCGTTCGTGGCAGGTGACGGATGACGAGTACATTATCATTAATTTCTCCGTCAAACACCCGGTAGGCCACCTCCTCCCACTCCCAGGCACATAGCAACCACTGTCTTTAAATGCACCATTTCTATAACTCTCTGACACCTATAGTGCTATCTAAATAGATAGTGTCACATTGCCTAACTTTTTTTCCTCATTTTTCTGCAAACTGTTTTGATTCATTTACAGAAATACCCGCCTCGCAGTGACATTGTGAGGGCCATTTCCATCCTCACTGGCTATTTTATCAAGCCCACAGGACCAAATAGCTGTACTTTCATTTACCTTTCACAGGCTGACCCCAAAGGTAAGACCATAACCAACAATTAAATTGTTCAGTTCAGATTGAAAATTCTTTCTTAATATTTTTAGAGCTGTTTTTAAAGTTTATCTCTCTGCTCTAGGTTCTCTTCCAAAGTGGGTGGTAAACAAAGCATCTCAAGTTCTTGCCCCCCGGGTATGTAACATTACACAAGTGTTGTCCCTAACTGTTTGCAGCAAAGGTTTTATTTACTTGTACTTAACATTGAAAGTGATAAAGTCAAGATACATGAACTGTGTATCAGGATGTTTCATTTTGTAGTCATGTGTGTCCACGAGGTGAGAAGTGTGCAAGAGGTGTGTGCGCATAAGGTAGTGAGGGTTTCATGTGTTTTAAAGGACAATGGTAACCATAGAAACCCAATTTTAAGGGCCTGGCCCGGTACAGTTGCTGACAAAGGAGTATCTCAGCTCGAGTTGTTGCTCTCTCTCCCGGCAGAACTCGTTCGCCAGGTTTCATATCCTTCGCAGATTGAAAGTATTTAGACCAAAGTGTATCTCTGTGTGTGCGTGTGTGTGAGAGAAAGTCTGCCGCTGACAGACTTGTGCCTTTTTAACTAGACAGAAACATTGACCTTCTTTACCTAGTAACAGTGATTTCTGTGAAAAAACATTATAAGGCAAGAATACGTAACTTTGGCTAAGAATGGAAAATAATTGAATCTTAATTGTAGAGCACTTTTAATTGCTTTCAGACTGTAAATAAAACAAGTATATAAAATAAACAGTAAGCTAATAGGTTATGAAATAAAATAAGAACCTGAACAGAGTAAAATATTAAAAGATGACAAAACAATTCACAGCAGTTGTTGGGAAAGTAGTTATGAAGACTTGCAGGATTTCACATGGTTTCTTCAGGAGAGGAGCGCTTACTTGTTTGTGACTGGTGTTGGACTGCAACTTGAAAAGATTTTTATTATCAATTTAATCAACTAATCTTTAAGCTATAAAATAAAAATGACTGTAATTCCCAGCAGCCAAGGTGACAGTTTTATCCAACCAACAGTCCAAAATCCAAAGATCTTCATTTTACTTTTACAAAAGGCTAAAAAGAAAAAGGTAATGTTTACATTTGAGTCAGAGACCAGTGAATTTATGGCATTTGTTGCAAAAAAAAAATTGATTTTAAATAATCATTGATTATCCAATTAATCATTTCAACACTAAACTGGTAACTATTGATGGCAGGTGAAAAATGATCTATAGATTAAGATACAATGTCCAAAGTGTGTTAAAATCAAGTTAACATACAGTATGAGCACCTCACACTGTAGATAGTTAAACAGTAAGGGCATCCATCCAAGTAAACTGACATTTGCAGGGAGGGAAAGGTCCTCATTTCTTTTTTCTTTTTTGGTTTTAACTTGTATATACTTCTTGCCTACTTCACAGTCGAAGCTGAAAAATAAGATAAACAAGATTACAAGTCTAAATACAATTCATATTATTACGTATTACATTTAGCTTATGAGAACACTGTCAGAGCTGTAAATAGTTTTTCACAATCACTACAACCCGTGTAACTACTGGCTTTATCTTCAGCTTTGTTGACTTAGAATAAAGGTGTGGTATTATCCTCACTGTCGGACTTCAGCCCTCTGATAATCGTATCCTCTCTTGGCCGACTCCTTCCAGGTGATGAAGTGTGTACACAAGGCGGGACAGAACTACCCAGAGTGGAAACAGCAGAACTCTCCCGACCAGAAGCCGTGGTTGTACCCAGAGCAGAACACCCTGGCCATGATGGACCCCGCCGAACTGTTGATACAGAGAGCAGACTCGCTAGAAAACGTGGACGAGTGTTCCAAGGTGGATGCTCAGGACAGCGAGGACAGTAGTTAAATCACATCGCAAGTGATGGGAGGAAGGGCTGGCACAAGCGGGAGAGACTGTATATACTCACAAACACGAAAAGACTTGAGAGCTCCAACTGTGTGATATCGCCCTAATCCTCCGGTTTTCCAAATCAGTGTGCCTTTTGGGATGAGCAAGAGTATGAAGTGTTTACAGCCGTCTTACCAGATGGAAATGAGCACAGATCAAGTTGCCATTCACCTCAGTCTATTTTGAACTAAGCTAATTCAGTGTCCAGTGTTCGCCATGGTGTAATTTCTTTACAGTGTACAGGGTTAGAGGTGTTGGGGTTGAATGTTACAGCACTACTATTTACAATGGCTCCTCTGTCAGGCCTCGTTTAGTTGCAGCTATGAAGAATACACACGAACAAATTTTTTAAATGAGAAGAAAGTCATTGTTCATTAGTGGCTCTTTATAAGGGACTGAAGATTAGGTATTGTCAGTGGTGAAAATGATGTGAAATTTCTGACGCCGCAATTGCTCGTTAAAACGTTATGGAAACCATTTTTGACTTAACCTTGTTTGTTGAATGTTAGATCTGAATAATTGGATCTTGAACTGAACACACTTAAATAGTCACTTTTATTTTGTTAAATCACATTAATATTAGTTACATTGTTTAAAATAGTATTTGCATTAACGTGAGACATATAGAAGGCAAAGGGTTCTTGGTTTGTGCAGCAGCTCTGGGCATCAACCTTGAATCTTAACACAAAATTTTAAGTTTAATCCAAGACACAAAGAAGAAAAAATTCTTCACTGTCATTTGTACATTTGCAACTGATTTTGTTTTTAAATGTGAATTTTATTGCTAAATGTCAGTTAATTTTATTTAGTCACGAGTTAGCATTTATCCTGTATGTCTACCCTCTATATGTAATACAGGAAGACTGTTGAAGGTTCATTGTATTTATGCAGATGTGCAATCAAAGTGTATCCATTGTAATTCTTACAGAAGTTATATACAAAGTGTAGACTTGCATTGACACTCAGGGAGAGGGTCAGCTGTTGATCTCTGATAATGAAAATCTAGTTGGATTGTATTAACATGTGAAATGTACATAGCAAGTCTGCATTTTGTCAGTTGATTATTACTTTACCTGAAGGATTGGAATGACCATAAAGGATACCTTTTTATTTTATTTTATTTATTTATTTGAAGTTACTGTGCCCTCAGATGAAGTCATGATGGAGAAATGATGCTGGAATGAAGCCCTGCAGGCTGAGAGCTTTAGGTTTTTCTGCTTGATATGAACTGTTACATGGTCTTGACTTTAAAAAAAACAGTAAACCTCACAAAGTTAACCTGCTTAGTCACTGTCATTGACTGCATTCCTCTTAAGGTGACCGTCAGTTTCAGTAGAAACCAACCTACAAACTGGAACAAGTCTGTCTACTTGCACCAGAGCAAACCAGTTCATTTCCAGCTCTTTTTCAGGTTCTTCAAGCACACAAAGGCAAAGGTTACTAGAGTTCAAAACTTTTTATTTCTTTTACTTGTCAATGTTAAGTTCTTTTATGAAAAATGATAGTTTCATAATGAGCTCTGGATCATTAAGAAAAACATTTGTCAAATTGGGAAACCAAACATTCCTTTATGAAAATTATTAGTGTACAAAAGAATAAGACAGTGTTAAGATGCAAAGGGCAGGTATTTACATAGGTCTTAACAAATTTATTAATACATGAACTTACTGTATTCTAGCATACTGTAGTAACATCCAGGGGTGTACAACTGCTTTCTATAAACGTTCGAATGTCTGCAGATTTACTTGATGGCCAAAGCTTGCATCTCTTGATTTTACTGATGATCATGTTTTACCAAAGAGGCGAAAATAATAAAAGTGCCAGGCAGATTCTTCTGGATCGCCATCACACACAGATAAACACACGGCACAATGTGCTGTTATCATGCATTTTAACAGCATGTTAGAGGTTATACCTGTCACAGTTTGGCACCTTAAGTAAGTAGTTTATACAATAAATACCTAATATATCATTCAGGCCAGGAGAAGTGTATGTAGACCTTTCCATGTATGAAACAAGAACATAACACTTGACATTATTAAAGTAATGCTGGGTCCTCAATAGCAGTCAATATTTATACAATGGCAGTTGTATGAATATAGTTATACAACTTAATATTTCCCACACAATTACAAATATTTGTTAAAAAAAAAATTTGATGTAGTGTATTCACAGTGATATTGAAAAATCCACTAAATGTTGTGCACTCAACATCATTTGGTCTGACAATATGTGAGGCCATGCTGTATTTGTACCAAACGTGTCAGTGTGTACTGAAATCCAAGTTATATGTACATTTTTTACATGTATATACACCCAATTACCAGTTTATTAGGTACAGTTACAGGTAGTAATATATTTCTCTACCTTATGTCAGTGTCATCAATGCAAATGTGTACAGTACAACTTGATTAAAGTATTATATTTCTAAGACTACAATTGAGACCATTAATTAGGGCTTGAAAAACTATAGAGACAAGGTTCACTCGTTAAATTATGCAGGGTTTTCTAAATGTTATGCTTGACCAGACAATATATATCACTTCTACAAAGCCTTTGTTTATACATCTCTGAATTCCAAGAAAATATGGTGTAGAAATCACTATATATCACAGTAGATAAGAGTGTTCTCGATTATCTGGGTGAGAGGGAGAAACTGAGAATTTAACAGTGTATGTTGTCCTTACATGGAGGACTTTGAATGAGTTTGTTAGTCATACATCAGTCATCCTGAAGCTGAGACAGAATGGAGGCCAGAGTCTGTGGGAGGAGGGTAATGATGTGCAGTGACGTGTCTATCCACTGTCGCTCTCTCTCTCTCTCTTTGCTGCCACCTAGTGTACAGTCCTCTCCTTCTGCCTTTGGTAGTCTTAAAGAAAACAGAGATAACATTACAATGCTGAAGGGGTGTCTTTATGTGATATCATACCAGTGTGGTATAATTCAGTGACTCCAAAGCCAGTTTTTTGTTGTTGAAGACAGGCACTATGATTAGACAGACAGTTATCATGGCTAAAATTATGTGGGTACTGAAACATGCTGGGTCTGCGTTCTGACAAGCTTCAAATTTTTCAGGTTTACCTCTTCAGACTGATATATTGATTATGGAAATATGAACGTTACACTGTAATTTTGATAAAGTATGTAACATATACTGCAGTATTAGTATACTATGCTAAAAGGAACAATCTGAGTTAAATTCAAAATACATTGGAATCTGCTATCATGCCCAAACTAAGCATAACAATTTCCTTTGAGGTGAATAAAGTCTTTTATCGTATTTTATCAAACTTTAGACAATAGCTTAACTATTGATGTTTTCTGATACTGTTTAAGCTTCGTTTGCAACAATAATGTTTGTAAACAAAAGCAAGAAAGCACACTTATGTTTTAAATTGTGATCACTGAAAAAACACACAAATGGCTAACTTTACAAATATAAGTCAAATATGTCAATTGTTGTACATTGATTTTTCAGTTTCTACAAACGACTGGTTGTGCATTTAAAGAAAAACTGCAGAGTGAATCAAAAATATTGACATGCTAAAAAAAATTTAAATAATGAATTCACATACATTGGACAGAAGAAGGGGAAACAGTGACTCCATTAGCACAACAAGTACAAATGCACTTATCATATTGACATGTATTTCTATATTTGAAACCAAATTACACTTATATTTTTTGCCATAATTAAACATTTCTTTCAACTTAATTCTTCTCCCCATATGTACTATGTTCCATGGTTTGAATTTTTTTCTCCAATACCAAACCAACCAACCAAATATAAATTATAAGCTTCAAGTCAGAAACACTTATATATTTTCTATACTATAGATCTACTGTATATATAGTAGAAATAGGATTCATGCCCAATTGTATCACTATATAAATGGTCATTTGCAGTTGCACTGTAAAGCGCAGCTATAGCAGATGTCAAATCTGGAGCACAAACTGTTATTTACATGACTTAGAGTTTTCAAGATTCAATGACTTACTGTAAGGAAAGAAGCGCACCCTCATCAGTATTTCTCGTGCAGTCTTCAGAATCTCAACAGCCTAAAGAGGAAGAAGAAATTCACTTAATGCAATACAAAAAAAGTTTATCACCAATAATAACCACAACTGTTGGGGCAAAATGTTGACAACGATGCCACACTGCATTCACCCTAATAGGGCATTATTTCTATGTGATATTTGCTCCTTCACAGGGAGATAAGGTCAAGAGCCCTGGCAGCTTATTTTAAATATTTAATTAATATTTTTGACATTAGCTTAAATTCTTAAACAGTAATATTTGTATCATGACCACTGCATATTTCAATATTTTAATTGCCACTGGAATATATAATTTGCTAAATGAAATACCAAAATCAAAATGTATGGTCCAATCTTATAGGGAATGGATTTTCGGTGGGTTTTACATTCAAGTCTAATTTCACAGCCAGCTTTGACCATCAAACTCAGAGTTGAAAACATGACAAGAATAGCTTTTATAGATATACATGACCTCTGTGCTGAAGAGTTGTGTTAACATTAACCCATAAACATCCTTCACATTCTTGAATTAAAAATGGTTGCGCCTATGTGTTAAAGCTGCACCTTGAATATGTGCAAACTACTGTGAAGATGACAGAGCACCCAAGTGTGAAGCTGTTCAATATTGTTATACATAGGCAGGGAAAATGTCAGCGACCAACCAAGTAATGTGATTGGAATCATATTATATACTGAAATAATAATGTGTTAATTAAAGTCTGTATGTATCAGAATTTGAAATTACTGCTCTGACTTACTCTTGAGTGCTCTATGTCTTGGAAATCAACCTCATTCACAGAAAGAACCTGGTCTCCCTCTTGTAGTCCTGCTCTGTGTGCATCGGAGTCTGGAACCACCTGGCAACCCATCACATAGGTATACAGAAATTAGTAATCACAATGTGGACATTTTTGAAAGCCAAACAATTAGTCAGCAACACAACAGGTATAAACGGCAGTAAAGGGCATACCATACACTAGGACTAAATACACACCTTGGATATAAAGATTCCTAACTGTGACGCCTTGCCCCCACGGATGTTAAAGCCCAGCTGTGCTCCCGGAGGTTTCTTCAGGACGATGGTGCGAGGTAGGAATTGGGTAAGCTCATTGTTGTAGTCAGGGTGATGAACACGCTACAAACATAGAAAAACCTTGACTTACTGAAAGCAATCTGATCAGAATCAACAACCTACAGGAAATGGTGTTGCAGGACATCACATACCAGAGGATTAAGAACAACCTCAGTGTCTCCTTTTTTGCTTCTTTGCAACTAGGTGGATCAGCAGAAAAGTTATATAACTGAGCATGAAAGCTAACAATCTTTAAATCAGATATTCTGGAAACACTAGATTGATGATTAAAAAAAAACAAAGAAAAACTCAATGTCCAGTTACTGGCTTTTTGCAGAGCTTTCAACTGTACTACAGTCTTCACCTTTGTTGTCGGACATGAGAGCCGTGACCAGTTTTGGTCTGACAGTCGATGTTGTATGTTCCCAGTGTTGATAAAGTCTCTTGTCCAGGAACAAGGATAAATGGGATACAGACTACATCATCTCTGTGAACACCAAAACAAAGTCATTGTCCAGGAGTCAGTGGACAACTAGAGGCATTAAACTCAAACACCAGAGGTTACCTTTAAAGAGTGACAGAGTTACAATCTCACCCTTACATGACATCATGTTATCATGTGACCATAGGTCCTGAGCTCTGCTACCTGTACCATCTCTTCTGTGCCATTCCCAACTGAGAAAACGCCATCCCCTGCTGAAGAGATACAGGTTTAAGCACAGCAGGTTGTTCTATTAAAGTGGCATACCTCTTGTGGAGGTATCCATGCTGGTGGGTTCTCATAAGATGGCAGGAATACCACTGGGAGCTGGTAGTCATCATAAGGAATTTTCTGATCCATTGTTTCTGAAAACACCTGAAGAAAGATAAGTGCACTGTTATGAAAACTTGTTCCCTAAGGTTTAGTGTATGGCTGCTATAGAAGAACACCTTACTGTAAACTAATGCTATATTTATAATAATGCTAGTTACAGCATTAAAACGATGAAAGTATAACTACCGTATAGTACCTCAGCTGCGTTCACATCACATATTTTCTCCACTAGTTACTAAGTTGTACGTAAAAAGGTTTCTGAAGAGTAAACCTGACATATCACAAAAGTGACATAATACAAATAATGATTTGACCGTGAATATATTGATGTACATCATACCATATGACGCAAATTAAAATGAATTGTGCTTTCGCCGAAAGTCGGTAATTTAACTTTGCAATACATAGACGAGATCCTAGCCAATTCTGCAGTTAGCTTAAAAGCTAACTTCGAAACGAACTTACTTTACTCAATTTACAGCTCATTTTAACTAATATTCACTACCATTGTCATCTGAACGCTAACGGTGAAGATACTACATAATTTTCCAAGAGAGAAATGCTGAGTGACTAACATAAAACAACAAATAATCTCACCACAGGCTTGTCTGAAACAGCTAGCAACAAGCACTTCTTCTGTACTAACAATGATTAGCATCTTAGCCATTACCGCCTCCTACTGTCGTGGAGTGGAAATTACTTCTGCCGTCATCAGGTGAGGACTACGGATGCATTGGGAAGATGTATAATAGCTATTATTACAACTTACTTAATAATACATCCATAGTGTGGACACAACTTCTTTGAGATTTGGACATTCTTGACATTACATTGGTGACGTATAAATCTTCTGCAGTTGTTCACATTGTACAATGAGCAAAATAAAGAAACTGTCTAACTAATTAACATAATTCATAAGTGTTCTAGGTTTTTTTCGCTAACCCACAACTGATCGGGAATAAATTTCACAGAATGAAATGAACACTGGAATTATTGCAGGGTCTCGGGATTCATGTATGCAGCTATTCATAAACTTATTAATATGATTAAGGTTACTTAATCTGTTACTTTAGGCATTTATTTATTTATCTTTTTTTATTTATTTATCTATTTTACTTAAATAATAAGGCATAATTTTGGAAGCAGGGTCACATGACTGCTGGGCTGAAGACAGCAGGGGAACATTGTGCTAACTGGGTAGGTGATACAGGTGCCTTGAGTGCTCTTTGTTCTGTGGCCTGAGCTCATTCTCTGTTTGCCCTTCAGTTCAGCTGATTCCCACTATCATTTCACCTCTCCCCCTGTGTGTGTTGTGTTAGTTTCTTTCATTATATTTCCTCAAGTCATGTTTATTTTGTCATTAAGTAGTACATCTAATCTCATCTAATCATCACATTGGTTAGAGTGAGAATTTATTCATGTACTGATTTTCGATTTAGAATTGTTTGTTGCTTTATTCAAGATATATATGATAAAACATTTGTAACTTTGTGTACGCTTTCTGTCATAACTACTCACATCTGACTGCAAGCAAAAGATTAAATACTTTCAAATAGAACCTGCTGTCTGCTTCTCCTGCTTTGCTCATATTCATAAAGAAAAAGGCCAGTATAATCCTACACATACATGTATAGAAAATTACATTGCTATAATGGAATTAGATTTTCATTTTCAAGTTCACATGATCATCTTAACAAAGTCCCCAATAGGCTTCTATAATGACTTTAATATATATAATTTTAGCCTGTTATTCTTCTGCACCAGATACTTTGAGGATGTAACACTATATTATAAGCATGGATTGTGCATTTAAAGAATCTAACCCAATTCAAATTTCTTGTTCCTGTGCGCCAGAACAGATTGGTGAATATTTCTGAACATGCAGCACTATCTTCTAAAGTTAGAGACCAAAGGGAGAACCTTAAAAAGCTTGCTGGCATAGTATACTATAACTATAATTATATATTATGCTTCTCACCAAAACAAAAATTATATACAGTAAATGAGTAAATAAAGGGGAAGAACACCTCCTGTCCTGGGAAGAAGAGTTTCCAGAGGTAAGATTCACTTCAAATATCATTGTTTCCTCTAATAAATATCAGGTTTATATTAGAACACACTGCTCTCTATGATTATTTTTCAGCTGTCTTCTTGGACTGAACTCGGGGCCCTGCAAACTGGCCCAGCGTCAGCCGCCTGGTTGAGGCCATTTGCAGCCAGCTCTGCCGTCTTCACCCAGTGGCCACGTGGTCCAGAGGAACCATGACAATTTGGTGGTCCCTCATCCTCAAGGACACCGATGCCATTAGAGACCAACATCCAGCTCTTTGAATTGAATCAGAGGACTCAGTGGTAAGAGTTTGTCATAAAGCTGTGTTCTTATGTTGTAATCTATACTGTGCTTTATATTTCAATGATAGCTGAAAATCCTAAAACAGCCTGTGCATTCCAGGTGCCTCCCAGACTCTCGCTCCAGCCCTCTCTCTTCATGTCAGATTTATCTAATAGTTAACAAGCAGGCTTTTTCAATGAAAACACAACAGCATTTCTCTTGCCTCAACTTGAAATGCACACACCAGCAAAGATCTTGTTGTCCCCAAGCACATTCTCACAGCCCGAGCCTTTATGTACAACTCTGCAGGCACAGATTTTGCTGCTGAGCCAGATGGAACACTTCCAAAATCTAGCCTTGGTCTGATTAGGACTGCATGTATCATATGTTTCATTGACACAACATAAAATCACACAGGGAACAGGGTTTTACACACTTTACACAGATACTGTTTCCATGTTAAACTTCAAGTCAAAATATACTTCCAAACCCTAAAATAAAACCTTTCATCTCTCTAAGTTATTTGCATATAATTTAAGATTATTACCTTCCTTGAGTCTCTTTCTTGTGTAGAACATAACTTTTACTTTCCCCACAAAAAAATGAAATCCAGAATTCTTCTCCCACATTTTAAATTGAATTGTATCCCATGCCCCACATTTATTTAACAATTCTGACCCCATTTTAATTCTGACCCCAATTCCTATTTGATCCTCCAGATGCAGCCACGCAGCCACTGTAACTCTTATCCAAGAAGTATGTTAGTCTGTCATTAACCATCCTTAGCATGAATGAACAGAGGTATGATGTCAAGGAAAGAGGTCTATAATTTTCCATTTTTCCCTGGTTTCCTTGTTGCTTTTTCCAGCTCACTGGGATTCTTATTTCTTCCCATACTTTCCCTGGTGCAGTCCTCTCTGTTTTAGCCAGGGGCATCTCTATTTATCTATGGACTAGGCTGGAATGGACTCAGACACTATCTTGTCTTATTTTTTTGGGGTCCCCCTACTCCTATTTCTTTCTTTTCTTCTTTTTCTCCTTATGCAATGAGAGTCTATGGCAGCCCCTAGAACTGTCTGTTAAAAAGTTTTGAAATTTGCCACACTGATTGGGAACACTCCCACAATGGTTTTTCAAGTTTCATGTCTGTGCAGGTCAGGTCAAAGTTGGATGTGCGTTCGAACATGTAACTTTTGCAACTGAATTTCTTGAATCAAGCCGAGGTCAGTGCACCCTATGACCTCACTTACCGCCATTTGGATTTTCTGGCATTTTGGATTTTTTTGTAAAAGTGTTTTTTCGTCACACTTCACTAAAATCGGCACAGATGATCTTCAGACCAAGCCTCACAAAAGTTATCACATGGGCTTTTGATTTCCAAAAGCAATCATTTGTCACGGCCAATCACAAATTGTGGTCATATCTCAGCAAAACTTTTCTATATGAAAACGAAACTGTGTACAGGGACTCACTCATCAGGACGTAGCTTAAGAAATCCAGTGCCCTTTGACCTCTAGGGGGCGCTGTAACAACAAAATTAGCATTTTGCCATATAACTGTTGATGTGTTTGCCTTAAAATCAAAATTTCTGTGTCAGGTCGTACTACAGAAGAACCCAAGGCCAAGACATGGCAACTTGTCATGTCAACCTAAATGATGAGGTCGCCACTTCGGATTTTATGTAGAAGTGTTTTTTCGCTATTCCTCAGACAAATTTAAGACCAAGCCTCACAAAAGTTATCACAAGGATTTTTGATTTTCAAAAGCTTTGTCCATCACAGCCAATCGAAAATGGTAATATCATTGAAGAACCTAAGGTTAAGACATGTCATTTTGGTTACACCTGGAACCTCAAACAGGAAGTGAAGTCATACCTTAGCAACAGCTACTCCAGACTAAACTTGGTGCATTGTCTTGGGAACCCATTTTGAGGTAGCCCAAAATTATTAGTGCCAAACCATTTTAGCTAGCGTTTTGCTGGGCTGCTTGGCCCCACATCACTGCTTGCAGCTATATTTATTAAAAGTTTATATGTCCATATTATAATCAGTCTGACTTAGGTAATGTATCTATGACATTTTTCCTGATATTTCTCCTCATAAACATGTATTCTTATCTTATCTCCGTCATTTAAGCACACTGAAATCTTTCATTAACCGTTATTATCATTAACTCCCCCAAAATGTGTTATGCATGATAAAATCCCTGTAGCATGCAACACAGATCTTTTTATGCAAGCTTAATTCTAGTCTCCTACATGGGTTGTAGTAATTCATGACCATTTGCTACTTTCCTACACTTTCGTTTCCTTTGCTTTACAGAAATGACACACCCTGTCCCAACACCATTTGTGCCATCTCTCCTAACTGCAACATACACAAAATCCAGGTTAGGCTTTAACCAGGACTCTTGAATACACACAATGTCTGGTTTTTGTCTTCCACTAATTATTAATTGTATAGTCCTGGCCATGAGCAATCGGGCGTCTCCACTGAAGAATTAAAATTATCAGTAGCATGCTGAATCTTGACTTGACTGCACGCTGAACTCGTCCAGTGTTTCTTCTCACTTCTTCTTCTTAATATTTTGGGTTGATTAACTTTTTCAACACTTATCATTTTCTTTCCTGTACTTCTCTAACACAGAAAGTGTGCCATTTCCTAAGTGCCTTTTCCTAACTAGAAATTTGATTTGTCAGCAAGGGCAACAACAAATAGTTTTCAAACATACAGCAAGCTTAAACCCACATTAGCGTGTGTGGAAAGTTGCAGGAAGATGCAGTACTTTCTCCTGTACTGTGACACATCTCATTACTGTGAAATAATCATATTCTCACAGTTAAGCCAATACCAAAATTAAGATTACACAATTGAAAATATCTGACTCTCATCTTAGTGTCATGTCGGCTACAACTCCCATTGAAAATAATTTGTGTAGCCAAACATACCCTACCCATTTGGTTATCACTCATTTGAATATGGAAATTTTACTGCAGAGACTTTTATGAGCTTGATCACATACATGCTTCATACAGTATGTCTGCATTTATTATTAAGTTAATTATCAAGTTACATTGTCATTTCATGTAATTCAGTTGTAAGAGAAGAATGACTGAAGAGTCAGGTCTACACTGCTTCACAACTCAACAGTTACCTTGTTTGACAAAAGTCAAATCAGGCATTATGTTTACTATGATATCATCCCTGATAGTATCACAATACAGGCAGGGAGGACCCTCACGCACACACACAGGCAGATACAATGAAATAACTGTAATGAAATGATGACTGATGAATGAATGAATGATGACTTACAGGAAAACAAAGAGGTGACGACAGAGAATAAATCAGAGAACAGGCAGGCGACAACGATCTTTTCCCAAACAAAAGCCTCTAGCCTCTCTGTCAATGAATCACGCTGACTCGAACCTGTTTGCGCACTGTTACTCAACAGTTAGGCTGCCCAACAGGTGAGAGCAAAAATCAACCGAATATTTTGATTAAACACATTTCAATCTTGGGAGTATTAAAAAAAAAACACACATATTAAGAGCTATTTATAATTAAGCTTATTGGACCAAAGTAAAATTTGATAAGCAAGTATATTAGTGGGTAAATTTAGCTTCCATCTGGATATCATTATTATGAGGTTTCTTAAACGTGACCTCGACAAGCGGAACTTTTTTCTGTCTTTATGTTTGTCACAGAGGTGCTGTCAACGTGGCCGGTCCACAGGTTCAATTCCCCACCGGCTCTAGGTCCTACATCTACCTGAGCTGGACTCGTTGGATCCTCCCTCTGTCTGCTTGAGCTACACCGCCCCTAATCCCGCACCCATTCACGTAGGTTTATTTTTCTCTTTCAGGTCACGGACGGCTCAGTAAGTGAAAAGGATGCAAGAGACGGAGAGTTGAGGCAGACAGTGCAAAGCGGTTCTCCCAAGAAGCGTGTGTCAGCGTGAGTACGCGTGAACTGCGGACGAAGGATTTAGGGACATTTATGGTGAGTCACTTTTGGTTGGAGATTGTTTTCACTAACGATAAGCCCCTTGGTCGTGCACCTCAGCTTCGAGGACACTGCTAAGTGATTAAGTACACAATGGGTTTTGTTCCTTAGATGCAAAGGATTAAACGATTAGTGAAGAAATAGTACTTGTGGACGTGGACATCACATTTTCTGTTTGGACATTATGGCTTGAAAGCTGACAGGTTGGAGTGACATGATCTTGTGTCAGTTTAATCACATGGAAATCACTAATGTTTTCAATTAGCCTACACATCTCTTCACATCATAATTTATTGTATTGATAGAGGGCATGGTAAACTATAAAGGAAAAAGCAAGAAAGTAAGAAAAAAAATAGGAGGCAAAGAAGAGAAAAGATGCAGCCTAAGCATCCAATCCTGTAAGTGAAACAGGAATGTATCATTTAATATTAAAATATTAGTTAATTAATATACTATTAAAACTGTATAGTACTTTTCCTGATCAAGACAGCTAAAAGAAAGTATAGCATATATATATATATATATAGCACATAACACACAAGACATTTGGGTATGAAGAGATGAAGCTTGCTGAGATGGTTTTAGATATTATGTGTATTGGCCTAATTACAAATTTCTATTAAAGTGTAGAAACAAGGATTTTCACATGGTTGTTGTTAAAAGCTGTTTGTTAGTTTTTGCTTCTTGGAAACAGATTAATAATCAAAAGGGGTTTTTGGGGAAGTTGAAAACAAAGCTTGATGGCAAAATAGTTTCTGTTATAAAGGGAGGTACCAGTGGAGCAACATCATTTTTGGTCCAAGAGGAAGCTCTGCTTGAACTTATTCAATGAGAGTGAGAAATGATAGTAATCTCTTTTCGCTCCTTCCTCCATTAGTTTATCACCTCATAGACATCAATCATTTCAGAAAATGTGATTGGATATTTTTATCTCTCATCAGTTTTTATTACAGTGGTGCACCCACTACATTTTTGTGCCTCATTAGAGTTTGCACCACCAACCAGATGAAAGTGGTATATAAATGAGCAAGGTGTGTCTGTGTGTATCTTTTAATCCTCTTTATAATGTAGGTGTTTGTGCAGGTATTTTATGTAGAATTACCCAGTGTGTGAAATTATATCCTTATACTCTGAGTATAGTGTGCTAAAGTATGAGGTGGAAATTGAGAGCAGCAATTAAAGTATCATTAAATAAACAGTGATGTCTTCCAGCCAGTTATATTAGACATAAAAAGGGCACTGTTGTAAGGCTCTCAACCATAAAGAAGTATTTAATTGTTCTTTGATTGTAATTGGGACATTCCTACTTCACAGTCTTTTGTCATCCTGTCCCCCTTAGATAGTGTGGTTGCTCATATTATGGTTATTACTTAACCTCCAGCTCAGACTTGCAGCTTCCTGGTCGATGCTCAGTTTGTGCACTGAAACAAGGTGTCTTATTTTTCATGCCCGTGATATTTAGACCTGTCAATCTGTCCCAACTCGCCCCTATTAGACAATTTCCTGATTCTTTTTATGAAACACGTTACTTAATGGTTGGATTTTATTTTATAATTTAGAGTGATAGTTTAATCTTAACCTTGCTTGATCAATTGAAAACTTATGACCTTTAACTTTGCCAATTACCCTGAAGGCTTTTAGTATAGAGAGAAACTGAACAAATCAGACGACAAAAAGCTGGCAAACCCCCAAGTCAAATCAAGTAAAACAAGAAACTGCTGCATGTGTTTAACGTATTTACAAGAGAAACCCTTATTGCTCAATGTGTCATGTTGATAGGTGGCAAACGTGTGAATTTCCCCGTATTGTTTCAGTTTCAGGGGACCGAAACCTGGCACAAATAAAAAATGTCCCAACATGTTCACTAAAATCCTGCTGTGACCCTTTCCCAGACTACTGCAATGAAAATGACATGGAAATTTCTAGCAAATCTAAATCCCTATAAGCTCTGGTCATTATCCGTGTCCATAGAGTGTCGCTCACTCTGTTAGTGTTTAAACTGTTTGTTCTTCACTTACGCTCAGTTTATTTCCTCCACCCCCTCTCTGTGCGTGGATGTGCCTGTCACTGAGGCTGTTTGTGATGCAAAGGCTTGAACAGCGTGACTTCACTCTCACGCCAGTCTGTGCACTACTCTCAATACCCCATGGTGTCGGCCATTGTAAGTGCTTCCAGTGGCTGTACCCCCTTTGCACACAGACTCTACTGAGTAGGCTTTTGAGCAGGGATTGCCTTAATACCCAAAGGAACTCTCGTCCCCCCCCCTATTTGCTTTCTGTCACAGTCGTCTTTCTTTCCCCTCGTGCTCTCATAGGTTAAGGGAGGTGAATGAAATCGGGCCTCTCCTCAGTATCCAGAGAAAGCTGGGCTCCCCCCATCGTTCTTCAGGCTGCGTGTATCAGGTGTCCAGATTGCACAGAACAGGATCTGCACTTTCTACACTGTGAATGAGGGGAAGTGATGTCTCAAGAAAATAACTGTTGCAGAGTTTGCAGCAGGGGCTTGTATAGCTGCCGCTGGAGGGGCTCCAGTAAAAGTGAGAGAAAAGTGAGTATTTTTATCCATAGCTTTTTGTATATTTAAGTGAATGTAATGTAGATATATTTTTTAATGACTGTTAAGGAGTTCAGATACATCTTAGATGTTCTAATTTACCTCAGCTGTGTTCTGCATTGAACTGTGATGTGTGTGTGTGTGTGTGTGTGTGTGTGTGGTGTTTATTAAACAGTCTGTTCAACATTCCTTCATCACTTTCAGTTTTCAGGTTCCCATGTACTTGCACTGATCACTGAACCTTTACAAATGACTGTAAGCAGGGATTAACATTCCACCGGACTGAATTTAGAAATATAGAATATTGCCAACGAGCAGTTCTGCCACACGAATCCTGTGCTTTAAATGCATTTTAAATTAAAGTGGATAACTTTGTGTAGAGAAGGCTATTCACATTCTTTTAGGAAATAAAACCCCAGTAAATGAACTGATGATTAAAATGCCGAATATGCATTTGTGTGCCAAGAAAAATAAGTCAACTCACAGGCCCTAACAGGCTTGTTATGGAGTGGAACAGGATTATAAAGCGGGGGGAGGATGGTGGCAGTCTATAATTTTGCACAAAAATGAGAAACTGGAAACGAGGTGTGCTGTTTGAGTTCAACTGTCAGGGTACCATGCAAGGTGCAAAATCAACTGTGAAAAAATGTTGGAATCGTTCCATTTGTCTTCACAGATCAAATTCTCTTTGGAGTTCACACACACACATACACACACACACACACACACACACAACACACACACACACACACACACACACACACAAACTTTCACTTAAACACACAAAACATACAAAAGATCATTATCATTGCGCTCATAACCTGAATTGTGAAGACGTCCATATGAATAATAGTCCACCTGTTCTTTTTCTTTTAGCAAACATGCTGCTGGTTCTCAGTCGTCACTCTGGTCTCCCTGCTTTCTCTCTGCTGGCTGTACATTTGTCTGGTTACTTTTAACGACCGAGAGGATGTGAACTGGTCAGTGTCCACAAACATTCACACACACATGCACACACACGTCCCACATTGAATCTGGCACAAAAGCCCAGAATCCTCTCTTTTCTTTCCATTTCTTTTCTTTCTTTATTGGTGACCTCTACTCTGCTAACCTTGTGCTGCCCTCTTTTGTTCTATTATCAGGCAGGGATTCACAAAACTGAAACGATGGGTGAACTGGTTCATGGTGGTGATCATCGTCTCTGCAGTGTTAACCAGCTACTGCATCCTGCTATTGGTGAGAATACAGTGCTGATACTGTCATGTTGAATTTGAGTGGTAAGGATGGAGTGACTGCAGGATGTTAAACCTCATCGTCATGGGAGTGGTTAATTACTGGCATGGGAATGGGTAATGTAGCTAAATGAAAAAACATAAAATAGCCATTATTTAGCTTAGCTTTGTACTGTGGAAACATCAGTCTTAAGCCACAGAATAAGAGGTCATTGCTGCAATTCCATGTTCTATAATTGACGCCATTCATTTCAGCTTTTTGCACTGCTCCAAGTTGCCTTAGGAGAACAACTCGACTTACACTGGCTGCACAAGGTATCGTAAACATTCATCTGACCAGCTTTTTTCCAAATATACATAACTTATTTAAGTTATTCAAATTGCTGATTGTCATATTTGCTTTTTCTCTGCACAGATCTTCCTGTTTTTCGGTGTGACGTTCATTGCTTTCGGGGTCACAGGAATTAGCCTCCAGTGGCCACAAGAATGGCCAACTGTTCCTCTTTCACTCCAGGTACAGTCAGGACCTCTTGTCGAGGACTGAGATCTGTGGGTGGGGATGGTAATGATGGTGTAAATGTATTTTTAAATGGCTCTAAGCTCAGCTGCGTCCATCATGTGTTTTTGATGCGCCCTGTGTCGGCCTCTTGGCAGGCCACAGCGCCTTTCCTGCAGTTTGGCATCGTTGGAGCCTTGACGCTGCTGAGTCCGTTTGTCTTCCAGGGCTTCCACACCGCCAAAAATGGTATGTGTCAGACATCATTTCAGAGTACACATAGCCATGACTCACAAGCCATTACATTATAAACCTTTTACCAGACATAAACATGATCACTGCTTTCCAATAACATTGCACTCGTTAATTGTGACAATGAGGTTCATTTGGCTTTGACCAGGAAACGGCTAGAAACCAAGATAGCACCGTAGGTGAAAGGATAGAGTGAATAAAGATATAATAAATTAAGAAAGATTGAAATGTTAATAAGATAAGAAAGTAAGACTTCACAGTTGGTATCACTTTTAATTCTGAGTTTTGTGTTATGCAGAATGTATTACGGTAATATGTTGTTGATTAGTAACATAACAGTATGAAGATGGACTACCGCTGGTTCTCAGTAATTGCCGTCATGTATCATGGCCTAAAGGCTTTTTTCTTTACCATTTAATAAGGAAGTGATTTATGACTGGGATGTGGAATATACACATGCAGCTAAACACATGTACGGAAAAGCAGCATAGTTGTGGTATAAGAGCCCCTATGCCCTTATCCAATGATCTTAATCACACATAACTTTTTATTTTCATGAAACTCAGCAAGCGAATCCCAAAGAGTAGTTTAAAGAATGACTAGGAACACAGATATTCACGTGTGACTGCCTGCAAGGGAAAGGCGTACAAACAGGACACAAGTATTTAAAAGGCGGGATATTTATGTGACCACCACTGTATAAATAATACTCATTATTTACTCACGCTACTGCACAGGTCCTTTGTTCAAACTCACAACATGCAAACAGCTACAGGGGATTGTTTCATCATTTGACTTTTGTTCTCCACAGTGTCTAAGGTCCTTATCGCTGTGGCCTTTGTAGCGGTTTCAGCAGCCATCTTCCTGTGTCCCCTGTTCATCCAGTCCCCTTGTCTGATAGAGTTGAATGAATTACCGGAAAAACCAAAGCTCTTTGGCCACAGAGGCGCACCGATGGTGAGCATCCTGTTTTACGTGACAACACCCTTAAGATACACATGGTCCATCTTTCCCAGGGTTGGTAGATGTTAGTAGACCTTTGGAAAGAGCCGTCATGGTGGAGTTATAGCACTTATGATTTAGGCTTGCAGTTTATTTTGTCGAAGGAGGGTGGATTAATGATAATTTGAAGGGATAATTAGACATTTTGAGAATTATGTTGTTCAAAGAAAATTGTCATGAAATTGTCTGATCTATAACCCACTATGGAAACACTATTTTTCATTGTTACAATTATGTTTTTGACATATTAATTCAAGCTTTAGAGAATTTTTCTATTGTAGATTCACACTAGTTGCTTTCCCCTGCTTTCAGTCTTTATGCTAAGATAAGCGTCTCCTGGCGGTAGATTATATTTTATGGAGATTTATCAATCTCATAAAATTCTTGGCAAGAAAGCCAGTAATTGTGTCTCTCTAAATGTCAAACTATCTCTGTAATTTGTAAACCACCCAGAGAGAAAAACCGACTGCTACAATCCATGCAAATAGCATTATCTCCTGTCATTCAGAGCAAGTCATACAATATATTGTATTATGTTCTGTTCACTGATGTGCAATGTTGACATTTTCATGTGTACACATCACAGCGAATGCTCTACCCCTGGCTCAGGTGTGAACAAATGTCCAGTCATGTGAGGGCCCCATATGCCGTGCTGCTCTGTCCTTGTTAGTTTGCTTTGCTCCTGGGTCACCAATAAGCTCAATTTAACACATTGTATGGGGTTGTGTGTGTGTGTGTGTGTGTGTGTGTGTGTGTGTGTGTGTGTGCGTTCACACAGCTTTAGGGTAGTTTGAGAGTTCAAGCACATGAGTGTGTCTCACCCATCTGTCCTCACTGTGTTCAGCTGGCTCCAGAGAACACCATGATGTCATTCAACAGGAGCATCGCGTGCGGCGTGAAAGCCTTTGAGACGGATGTACAGCTCAGGTACGGTGAAAATGGCTTCATCTTCATCAAATGCTTTTTAGCAGCTGAGGATAACAGCATTTTGAAGTAGTACACATGATTTCTATAGCCCCATAGCACCATCTGACCGTTTGCTAAGCCCCACCAGAATTACTTACTCTGGCTACACCTGTCAAGCTTTCCTTTCTTGCACAACACATATGCAAAGGTAACGATGGCAGAGAAACCATGTGTCTTCGATTTCAGACATAGGTAGATAAAAGCAGGCTTCTCTAATTCTAAATAGCGACTGCAGCTTTTTCTCTAAGAAATTAAATAAATCACAAAGGTCAATAAGTAAATAAATGACTGAATATAATTTTAAATTTGGATTGTTTTGTCTTCACAGATGCTAATTTTCACTGTTTCTCCAATCTAGTAAAGACAGAGTTCCCTTCTTGATGCACGACAATGTGTCTGAGTTTTTGTCGAGAACGACAAATGTTAAAGAAAAGTTTCCCGACAAACGCTTCACCTACAGCGCCAACCTCACCTGGGAGGAGTTACAGAGTCTGAATGCAGGTGAATGGTTCCTAAAGGTGAGGGCTGTGCTTTGATGCACGCTAGTCTACACACTTGCTCATAAAGATTTATGTAGTGTCATTAAACATGCTTCAGTTAAAGAAACTATTTTTGGACTTTGCAGACAGATCCTTTCCGTTCAGTGTCCCAGCTCTCAGAGGAGGAGAAGAAAACGGCTAGAAATCAGACTATACCCTCCTTACTTCAGCTCCTCAACCTCGCCAAGCAGCACAACATCTCAGTCATATTTGACCTATATAGTCCCGACCAGGAAAGTGACACAAACGACACAGTCAGCACCATCTTGCGTTCTGGCATTGACCCAAGTCTGGTGAGTCTAATGCTAATGGATTTAGTTGGATTGATACATTTCATGATATGGCACATTTTGTTAAAGTTTTGTATTTTCCGTTTTATAGATCCTCTGGCTTCCTCCAGCAGAAAGAGAAAGTGTAAACTTGACTGCTCCAGGTTTCATCCAGGTCTATAACAATGAGGAGGAAATGATTAAGAAAGGAGGAGACCACCTGAATGTGAAATACAACAAGATGAGTACAGAAAAAATCAGGTAAAAACATTAATATGAAAGAATTACACCATATTATCTATGTGGTGGTGCTAGGGGGCATGCACAGTGTTGTGTGTATAGCATGCTGAGACACAGTGCTGGCACTGAACATAGATACACAGGATCGGCCTCCAGGGAATGTGATTCAAATAATGTCCCAACCCCTTAGTGTTATTAAATGGATGAACAAACTAATCATAAAAAAAACGTACTAGCAGTGTAGCAACATGTTTGGAATAACTGCTAAATGAACTAACTGTACATGGACTGCTGTCTTTGCTTTATGATACCGTCTTTCTACATGTTTATCATTAGGAAGCACAAATTAACTCTGTTTACACATAAAGATATGTGTATGCATTTGTTCACATGGAAATGGTGTGCAGTATAAATACGATCAGGGTTCATGATGCTGTGCATTTGTATGTGTCTGTTCTTATCACTGTCTATTTATGTGTGCATGCAGACAAACTCTTTATTTTTTGTATGATTCATGTTATTGATTTTAGTATTTAAACAAATGCAAAAATGATCTAATAATAGATTAAAAATAAGAAAAGCCATAGCATAGAACATGCATTTACATGCACATATGCATACAAACTTACGGTACATGCACCCACTTACATACATATACACACAGGTAGATACATACCTGCACATATATTTACTGTCCTGCTCTTCCACAGATTTCAGTTTTCCAATTTTTATATACTACTTCTCTCCTCATTTACTTGCAGTATAACCTATACGAAGTTCTACATTCTCTTTCATTGTGTCTGTATCTGGCAGAAACCTACGCAGTAAGAATATTACAGTTAACCTGTGGGTGGTTAATGAGCGTTGGCTGTTTTCTCTGCTGTGGTGTGCAGGGGCCAGCTCTGTTACCACCAACTCCTGCCACCTGCTAAAAGACATGGACAGCCCTGACTGGATCATGGTGAGAAATACATGCAGCTGTACACACAGTGTCTCATGTTTTACTTCTACTGTCTGTTCACTTTATTATCATGAAAACACTCAATACCAGTCAATCAAGCATTTGTTTTGGAGCCAACAAGTTTGTGCAAGTGTTTTCCAGAGTATGTGACACACCTTGAACATGTCATGCCTATGGGCATGTTACTGTGTTTCAGGGACAAAATAAATACATATTAATATGGATTGCAGTGGACGTTTTATCTTTTCTTATAATGGCCGCGCTCTACATCTTTCAGAGGTAAGTTGAGCAAATGTTTGCTGTACATGTTTGTGTCTGCATAAAAATGTCCATGAAAGTGAATAGACTGACTCATCAACCTCACTGTTTCTTCCTCACACAGTTTGTGTCACAAAGGAGGTATAGTAAGTTTAGATTTTAAAATGTTAAGATTAGGGCTGCAACTAAACTACTTCTTTAGTCATTATTCTGCAGCTTATTTTCACAATGAATCGATTAATCATTAAGTCCTTAAAATGTTTATCAATATTTCCAAAAGCCTGAGGTGATAACCTCAGATTTGCAATCCAAAGCCCAAACATTATCCATTCACTATCATGTAAAATAAGATTTTAAAAAAAGCAACCTGGAAAAAGAGAATGTTTGGCCTTTTTGCTTGAGAAAGGACTTAATTGATTCTGAAAATAGCTGCAGATTAATTTTCTGTTGATCGACTAACCTATTAACAGAATAACTGCTTCAGTTCTACTGACTGTATTGGCAATAATGACACTAAAAAAGATTAGCTACCGGTATTACATGATTCAAATTTGGGTGTTGCACACAGCACTCCAGGTAACAGCTGATATTTTGATTAAAGTGGGTTCCTATCTATCTTCTTCTAATCTGAATATAGGTTGCTAATAATACTTTTCAAAATGGTGATATTAATCCAAGCTTATTTGGGGTTTAATGAATAACTGTATAACATAACTACAATGACAAAATTATTGCTGGAAATAGAAATACAAGCCTGTACACTTTATTGATAAAAAATAACTTTTTAGAGACTGTTATAATGCGAATGAACATCAAGTAACCTTTTGGTACCACTTTCCAATAAATCACTGTTTACAAGAGGTTTATAAATTGTAATTAATGTATTCAATTATTAAATAAATTCATAAATTATTTACTAAATTGATCAGTAAGGCCATCAATAAAAACAGATTTGGGGTTGCCACGTTGTAAAAAACGTTTGACCACTTACTTGGATTTAATTTTTAAAATCTTTTTAACATTTAAAACTTCAGACTTAATGAATTAAAAATCATTTATTAATAACTTATCTGCATGGTTCTGTAGGTGAAAAACATATAAAAAATGTATTGATGGATTAGCAACATTAAATTATCATCATTACAAAATAGAAAGGATAAGTACCAGCTAAAGATTTTTTCACAACCTGACAGCCCAGTCTATAATCATTAGGAAATAATTTATTTACTATAACAAAATACTTGATTACAGCTTATAAAACTATTATAAATGGTGCCTCATTAGAAAGTGGTACCATCTCTTTTACTGAAGTGGGTCCCTTCATTTGTTTTCTTAACTTTTTTGACTCCAAACAGGAACAGAGAGGCAAAGAAACAATACTTCAGCCTGGAACGAGAAAGAACTGTCTCCCTTCTTACCCACTGGGTAGGTTGACTGAGTCCAGCTGCAGATGTTTCAGCCCCAAAACGACATACATCCTTGTTTGCACTACAAGAATGCTTTGGACTTGAACCAGGAAGAAAGCAAGTCAATGTGAATTTCCATGCACTGTATTGCAAAGCCATGAAAGTTGTTTTTTTAACAGAAATTTGAAGATGTGAATCAAATTTTGGCAATATACCACTAAATGGCTGTTTTAGTGTTTTGTTTCCGTTTAAGTCTGCTAACTGGGTTTATCGTTCACAGGGTTTTGGTCTTTGTTCTGTTGCTACTGAAAATATGAAGCTTTTCTCTGATTGTATCATTGCAATCTGCAATGTAGATCTTTGTTGTCACTGTTTTTTTTCTGTTGTTGCTGTTTCGATTTGTTTCAGAACTCTTTTATGACGTCACTGCTGCAGGAAAGATGTGCCTTGTATATTTAACCCTCTACTGTATGAACTACCGGTACATTTTGTTTGTTTGTTTTGTTTGGGAAGATCGGAGACCCAGGCTTACTCCATATCATTCAGGTCTACGTAAGTTGATTATTGGCAATTATGTTAGGATGTATGTTATGTTATGAAATTTTAACTACTAAAATGCAATATCAACTATGTGGGACTCTCTTCCCTCAATCTTGGAACCCTGGTCTAGAGGAGGGATCCTGTGTTAAATTCTCCTTTTAGGACCTACATTGTTTGAGTGTTTACTGTGCTCCTTTGTTTTAAAGTTGTGTTTTATTAAAGTGCTTCCATTTTTCTATATTTCTACGTAATTACCACACAGAAAACTAGGACAGAAAGTACTGTAATTAGTCTTATTTTTATTATCAGTGGGTCTGACAATTATTTTCTTTAGTAATCGATTTGATTGTTTTATGCAGTGGTTCTCTAAGTGGGGTCTGGTGACCCCCAGATGTCCCCCCAGGGGGCTACTGGGGGTTCTCAACAAAAAGGAGAATCATTTATTTCACTATAGCCTATATTTCCATCCATATAACACAATGATGGAATGTATGAATTTGGTCATGGGTTTCAAGCACTTTCTGTAATAAAACATCTAAAAGCAAAAATCTTATCAGATGGGGGTCTATGATTTAATTTGTGTTAATTTAGGGGTCCTTAGTGTGAAAAGTGAGAGTCACTGGTTCAGTGTATAAAATGTCTGAAAATAGTGAAAATGCCCATCATTATTCTGTGAAACGAGAATTTGCTATTATAGAGAACGAGGGAAAGAAGAAAATATTTGAGAAGCTAGTACCAGTTAATTATTGGCAGTTTTGCTTGAGGGGAAAGAGTGTATTAACAGTTAACTTTCTCTACTAATGAAGAAATTATTTCAGCTAGAGTCAGATGAAATAATGCAGCCTGAGATAAAAAAAAATCCTCTTTTCTATCCACACATCTTTTTTCCTTGTCATACACTACCCACAATGCAACTGATTCGGCGACAGTTGGGGCAGCAGGTGTGTTATGCTAGTAGCGGCTAAATGTAGCCTCGAGCCTCGCTTGCCTAAGGCAGAGCTGGGAAGTGGATTACAGAGCTCTGGTAAGCCCTCTTCTTTTTAACTCCACACGCCAGATTAATTTTTTTCATTTCAAAACTTTTAGTCTTCAGCCCCAACTGACACTGACTCACCAGAGGTAGTTTATATATCAGACCTCGAACAGCTCCCTCTGGAGCCGCGAAAGACTTTCTACAACTTCCCCCCACATACACACTCAGCAACGTTAGCTATTTCCTCAAGAGCTGTAAACTGACTGGTGTGTAAAACCCTTTAAATTGTGATTTTCTAGCACCAACTCAACGCACCACTAGATGGCACACAATGCATAAAAAAGAAAAAAAAAGGCGACTACGAGCTGATCAGAAGAAAATTTGACCATGGACGACATACAGCATCGCTAAGCGCCTTATGACAACAGATGATGGCCTCCAACATAATACTGTAAGATAACTGCAGGTGGCATAGTTTAAATGTGTTGACGTTGGTATTACAGTCGCCTGATAAGGCTGCGCCAAGGGCTCGTTGAAGGCGAGGCATGTGTGCGTGTGTGTGAGGGGAAGAGGAGAGGGAGGAGGAGGAGGAGGAGGAGGAGGAGGAACATGTCACGCTTCGGGGTCGTTTCGCCCAAAACTTGTGGAAAGTTGACATGAAGTAAACAATCTCCTCTTGTCACAGCTGAACCTCAGTGTGTGGGTGTGGATCACTGCTGACTGCAGTAACAGTTCAGACAGACGGGGAGTGTCCACCGACTGGATTCAAAACTCCACATCCCACTTGTTTGTGAAGAAGGAGCTACAGTTGTGGTTGTGTAATTATCCGGGGCTAGTGCTGTAATTATTTTCTTCCAAAAAAAAGAAACTCCCCCAAAACGGTAATTTACATGACTTTTCGAGTTGGCCACAGCATGGTTCATAAATATGGTAAGTACCGTTAAATGTAACGTTATGTCTTCAGCTCCCTAACGTGTCAAAGTTTTAGAGTAAACCTCCGCTAAAGTTAAATTTTTAGGTTAATGCCAGCTCATTACTACATTAGATTACTTGCACAGCTTTTCACTGGCCCACTAACCTCAGTTATAATCCCCCGAGAACCACGTTTTTTTTTGTTTTGTTTTTTTTTTTTTTTGTCCTTAGGGGATGAAAAAAGATAAAATGTTGTGAGTGGAAATTGTGCAACTTCCGGGCAGCAGTGTACTGTTTTTGAGTTTTTCTTTTTCTCGACCAAAATGTTCAAGAACAGATAGGAAACTGAAGTAGTAGATTTACCTCCGTGATGTGCATCATCTCTCTGCTGTGTTCCTCACCACCCACCGGGTTCAACAACCAGCTGCACAGTCCTGTTGCAAGAAAAAAATACCTTTAATGTGCTGTACAGGAGAATGTAACAGCAGTGCTGCATTTGGCTACAAGACAAATACAAATCATTACTATTATATGATGTGTAGAGAGTCATGCATTTATACTAACCGTGTGTCCATAACACTAAAAATAAAGCTGAAACTTTTTTTACCTACTTAACATATACTTTTTTATTTTTATGTGAGCTGCATTTGATTATTTATTGCTATTCTCTCTAAATTTTAGGGATATATGATGTATCAATTAGTGTCTTGGTTCCAGCTCCTTAAATGTGATTTTCTTTTTTATCTTAGTATCTTATTGTAATAAATTAAGTATATCATTGGGTTTTAAAACAAGAAAAGATATTTAAAGGGCTCTGGGAACGAACTTTCTTGGTATTTTCTCCTGTTTGCTGACATTTTATAGACTACAGAAATGACTCATGTAGAAAATATTCTGTAGTTTAATCATTAAGAAAAGTAATCAATAGTTGAGGTCCTAACATATCAAAAGAGATGTTTTTATCATATTATCATATTTTGTTGCTGTTTTGGGTGCTTTTTAAGAGCAATATAAAAATATTATAATATAACAACATTTTATGAATAATATATGATTACATTCACTCATTTGTCAGACACCTTTATCAAAAGTGAATTAGTGAGGGACATCACTAAAGCTTCTATCAATATTAATAAGAGTCTGTTGCTGGTGTCCTGAGACATGTCTTTATTTTGTGAGGCAGACACAGAGCGGGCAGTGGGGCTGCTCAGACAGTACCAGGCCAATCTGACCAGTCCGGAGGAGCAGGCCTTGAAGACCAGCGTGGGTAAAGTGTCTGCCATCTTGGGAAGCCAGCTGTTCCAAGCCCTTCTTGGTAAGAAAAACACTGTAAAACTGCTTGTTTTGGAGTCTTTCAAAACTCGGCCCTCCAGCTTAAGTTGCATCAAAGTTTTCTCAGGGTGAACTTTCTAAATAACTTTTCCTGCTCACACCCCTTTCATTTTGAGTAAGGGAGATGTTTTTTGGTTCTGTTATTGTGTGATTGGCTGCAGGCAGACGCAGGATGTAGACAGAGTCAGGTTGTATTAATTTGTGTGGGAAGTTAACTGAGTCTAAATGTTTCCCAATTAGGTCTTATGAAAGAGGCCTTTCAGTTTGACTCACAAAGGTTTGCTGTATAACCCCCTCTGTAACATAGTCAGATTGTAATAAAATCCCAATAAAGCCACACACAACACAGTCTATCTATAGACTGAGTTTTTATAAGCTCAGACATGTCACACTGTGAAACTACAATTCTTCTCTTGCCTTTGACAAAATGGCCTCTTTTGTACATTATACCTCATGACAACACAACATTGCTCATATAAACTGAAACAGCTGATTCACCACTACCAGAAAGCAATAGTAATCTACTGAAGCTGCTGCTGACTAAACTGATATTACTAATCCTGCAGTGTGCATAGTTTCTACTGCAACTCATCTGAAGAGTCTCTGTTAGTCATTGTAACCTGCTCCACCCTCCACCCTTTGGTGTTTTGGAAAAGAGCTCAGGGAAGGCAGTGTGAACCTTAACCTCAGCTCCTTTTAAAGCAGATAAAGAACATTACTTCAGTTTAATCAATGGTTGAGTGGTCCTTCTAATTACCACAGCCATGTTATAATGATGCTTGCCCTTGGGTCTGCTGTTGCTACTGCTGACCTACTGCTGCTTCACAGCTGGGGATCTGAGGGGGGAAGGGCTGCTCTGGCAGCAGTTGAAGAAATACAGTATGGTTGTTTTTTTAGTAGTGATGTATGCTGAAAGGAGTTTTCTTCTTGTCAAAAGTCAACTATAGAACATCAGAATAAGAGGTGGTCGGGACCTATTTTAAGATCATATGTGTCTTAACAGGCCAACAAATCTGCCCCATTTTAAAAGCTCCTTCAAATGTAGCCGTCTTTTGCCTGATCATGAGGACATGACTAGTGCATCCTTTTGGGCCTTTTGTTGTAATCCACTGCTCTCCAGTTGGTTACTGGTGTGTTCAGGCAATTCTCATCTACATGTCAAGTCAATTATCTTTAATCAGGTTTCTGATTACCAATAATTGCCTGTAAACTCTGGTGTTACTGGACCAGTTTACCACTCGTACCACGTACTAACCTTTTAATAACCTCAAAGTGGTTAATGTTGGCACGTGCAGTCCTCCAAAGGCTACACACAAAGGCTGTGTCTATTATAGAAGGCTGGCCTCAGTTTGGCACATACTGTAGCTGCTGTGTTAATAAAGGACACTTCAGCAGGACAGATGGTTGTGATCACAGTCTTAAATCCAGGCCTTCAGGTTGAAGGATCTTCCTGCTCATTGTGCTCCCATGCTGCTATTCCAAATCAAGAACATTTGAGTGAAGTGTTATTGTTTTGTTGCTTAAATTGGTGATTGTTTCCCTCATAGTAAATGGCATCATTGATAAACCACATTTTTATCAACACTACACATACTATGACACACAGTGCAACACAAATCACTGTTCTGAAATTAGGTTTTCTGTAGACACAGATGTAGTTTTGAGTGTCCAAAGATGTTTTTAGCCATGCTAGCAGAGTTTGTGGCTCTAGGAATGACAAGTTCAGTCAATCCGCTACTTGGGTTCAGACTGAAATATCTCAACAACTCGCACAAAATTGTCTGAGTACATTCATGGTCCCTAGAGGATGAATGCTACAGACCTTGGTTATCCCCTCACTTTTCCTTTCACGGCATCTGCAGGTTGAATAACTTTGTTGATCCTCTGACGTTTGACGTAGTGTCATCATGAGGCCAAGCTTTATTTGTCCAATACTTTGGTTTTTGGCCATATACCTGCAAAATCAATTACATTCCCATCAACCTTAGCTGTGCTTTGTGTTTAGTGCCAAATAGTAATTGTTAGTGTGCTAGCATGCTAAACTCAGATGATGAGGACATGATAAACATTACACATGGACCTGTTTAACATCAGCACGCTAGCATTGTCATTGTGAGCGTGCTGATGTTAGTCTTTAACTCAGTACAACCTCACAGAGCTGCTAGCATGACTGTAGACTCTCAGTCTTTATAAACTGACCTGTTGACTCACTGTATTAGTCAGCTTAAAGCTACAGTTTAACAAAGAAGTATCTTTATATAACATCTTTATACCCACCATTTGTACGAGTTTAATCAGTATTTTCACCTTGACCAAGGTTTCATTCTAAGTGTAAT